GGTAAACAAATGGAATCATTAATCTTGACAGATCCCTTCCCAGCAATAGGAACATGGGATCCATCAGCTGTGGAGACCCTATCTYTGCCAGAACTGAGCTGGTAAGAGGAGAAAATGGTGGAGCAATGGGTCATGTGCTCTGAGGCTCCAGAGTCTATAATCCAAGGAGATCTCCCCTTACCTGAAGCAGAAACATAGTTTGCAGTGACATGTGGACTACCTGTGTGGGCAAGGGAGGTAGAGTGAGTTCCACATGTGCTACCTGTACCTTGTTGTCCGGTTGTGGCTGAATTGGAACTAGCTGTATCCCTCTGATTCAGAAGTAACCCAAACCTCTCAAGCTCGGCCCTTACTGCAGCAGCTGCAACAGACTCCAAGGCAGTTGTAGTAGGGGGGGCCGGAGTGTCACTAGTAACTGCCATATGTGCATTTCCTTTCTTATTATTCAATCTGGTTGGCACAAGATGTGGGTGAAGCTTCCAGCAAGTATCTCTTGTATGCTTTGGTTTCTTACAGTAGTCACAGACTAAGTCCTTTTTGTCTTCTTTCTTGTTCTCATTGCCATTCTGTTTAGGTTTCACAGCACTTACCATAGCAGACTGATCAGACATGAGATTCTTCATTATTACATCCCTCTTGCACTCCTCTCCTGACACGAATGCATATGCTTGGGAGAGAGTGACACTGTCCCTAGAAAGAAGATGTTGTCGTGCAATGTCATACTCAAGGTTAAGGCCAGCAAGGAATTTGAACACCCTATACTTCTCTAAGTGTCTTTGATAGGTAGCTACATCCTTGGTGGTTTCCCAAGCAAAGGACTCTAGATGGTCAATCTCCTGCCACAGGGTCTTAAGAACTGAAAAATAAGCTGCAACAGATCTATCTCCCTGCCTAGTAGCAATAATCTGATTTCTCAGTTAATAAGCCCTAGCAACATTCTCCTTCTGTGAATAGGTCTCTGCAACCCCATCCCATATCTCCTTAGCAGTGTTTGCCCATAAAAAGTTTTTACTTATATGTGGCAATATAGAATTACACAACCATGTCATTACCATATA